CAGCAGAGTAAACCGCCTAAGGCAACCCAGCTGGTGAGACGTAATCCAGAGGTGAATCTTATAAGGCAGTTAGAGCCAGTATCCCTCAGCTGCTCCTGACTGCCTCCTTACTGCGTTTTCCCTTCCCTGGCCTGAAAGACAGGGGTCAAGCTAAGACCATCTATCACAAAGCATAAAGGGAAAGACATTTTTGATTAACAATATTTATGGGAAGGTGCCATTTTATTGTGTGTTTCTCTGTGTAAGAAATGCCATTTGGAAAACCAGTGTGCATGTCAGTTTTTTTTTTTTTCATTCTGAGAAAAAGCCTATAGAGTCTGGTGGGGGAAGGGTTTGCAGCTGGCAGGAGCTTTGGCATATGTTGTAACTAAAAAGAGAGGGAATGTGTTGGTGGGACAAGCTACCGGAGAGCTGTCTCGGTGTGCTGCGGTATAGTAAGTGTTTTAATTGGGTAGGGTTTTGGAGGACTATTTTGACATCTGCTCGTGTCTTTGCTGATTTTTCTTCACTTAGAGTAGGAAACACAAGCTGTGGATGAAATGACTTTAAAATAATTGGAACTAAAGATTTCTCTCTCAAAATCAGATTCAAGAGGGACACTTTTTAAGAAGTGGAAACTAAATTCCACTTCTAGGAATCCATCCTAAAACACAAAGCTTTATTCCTACAGACTTCATGACAATATTACACATAATTTCTTAAAAATTGGAAATAACATCCAACAAAAGAGGCTTGGTTGGGTTTTTTCCATGTAGTAGAACACCCTGTAGCAATTAGTAATGATCTTCACAAAGCTTTTAATGAAGTGGAGCATTGCTTATATAGTAAACAGTGAGCAAATCAGAAAGAAGCATTACAAATTATTTCAATTGTGTTTTAAAAAGTGTGTGGGGTTGAGATATGGAAGGAAATATACCAAATATTGTCTCCAAATGGAGAGATTGGGGTAGCTAATTTTCTTCTTTGAACTTTTCTGTCTTTTCCATTTTTTAAATGGTGGGCATATATAATTTTTATGATACAAAAGGAAAGTGTTATCTTGTGTAAGAGAAGGCAGGCCCTGAGAGTATTAGTATAACTGCATGCACTGAACAGATTCTCATCCTGAAGTCTGAGCAATTGGATTTGGGATCTCTTCAGAAAGAGGTAAGTAAGCTTTGGAGTCAGACTGTATTCAAAAGTTGGCTCTGCCACTCACTAGGTGTGTGACTGTGGGCAGTTTGACCTCTCTGAGCCTCCACTTCCTCACCTTCACATGGAGAGGCTGGTATCTCCATAGCATGGTTAAGATTAAAAGAGCTGGTGCCTAGCAATAACCCAGCTTCCTTCTCCCCCTGCGCTTCCCACCCCCACCTCCAGTTTGAGTTTTTCTTGCCTTTCTTCATTCCCCTTGTTTCCTTGAGCCTTTCGGGGATAGGGCACCATTCTTTCCTTGGGAACACTGAGCTTCAGGAAGGCCCTTGAGTCCATGCCAGCCCCTTTGGAAGAGGCCTTGCCACCAGGAGAGCAGCATTGTCCTATAAGAGGGAACTGTGCCGACCCAACTCCAGCCTGGAGCCTGGTGCTTGGGGCATTTTGGTTACTAAGGGGACCCTGGCCTGCTAAGTCAGAGAAAAGGGCCAGGTTTTTTCCTATTCTTCAGCCTGCTGCCATTGTTGAAAAAGTAAACACTCCACACAGCTTAACCAGCAAGTCCTCCAGCCAGGAGTGGGAAGAAATCAAAAGCCTATTCCAGCCCCGCAGTGGAGAGCCCACAAGGGCTGGTGTCTGCTGCTGGGGCTCTACTGGGAACACAGAAACAAGGCACAATTCTGGTCCAGAATCAACATCCCACTCAATGGGCCTTTCAGCCCCTGGAGCTTCTCTCCAGGAGCCATTGCCTCCTGCCCTCTTCTGTTTGAGGCTATTTAGAAGGTCAAAACAGGTGATCCCATGGGGCAGCAGCCTGAGCTCAGTCTTTGAGGCCTGGAGTCCTCAGCTGAGTTGTGGAGCCCCTTGTTGTCCTTCTCTGATTCTATGTTCCCTGACCATGCCTCAGCCTTTGAAGCAAGAGCCCAAGGAGCTACTGAGAAAGGGCCAGAGGACTTTTGCCCTTCAGCCATTGCCACTACAGCTTTTCAGACTGTTGTGTGTATTATAAAAGTAATAATAATAGCCACTACTTATTCAGTCTTACTGTGTGCCCGGCACTATGCATATGTTACTTCTAATCCTGATGGCAGCCCAGAGGAGAGTGGGGAGAGAGGAAGGTGGTCACAGTTACCATCTCAGATTTACAGACGAAGAAGCCAGTTAGCAGATACATAACTTTGGGCAAGCTCCTTCACTTCTTGGAGCCTCAGTTTCTCATCTCTGAAATGGGGATTGTGATACCTCACTTCCAGTTCCACTGATAGAAATGGACAAATCTGTGTGACAGTGCTTGTGTGCTCTGAGGTGTGACATAAGTGAGAAAGATGACTGTCAATGCTATTTTTGTCACTTGCTGCTAGTACACTGCTAGGCATTTAATCTGTTGGCTTGCGGAGCATGGCAGTGGAGGAGCCTAGACAATTCACTGTGGGTCTTAACATTCTCCTCTATAAAATGGGGATTGTGCTTTTTAAAACAAAAGTGCTGAAAGCATTCTTTGTATCATTATCCACTACTTCACCATTTGCTGATAGCTTTTTACCCTCTAAGTAAGGCAGCAGTTAGTGAGTGTTGGGGTTCAGAGGGGAGAATAAACTCATAAACCGGCAGTCTTGTCCCTCCTTTGTGGTTCTCAGCCCATAGAAAGCACTTAATAAATGTTTACGAATTGATTGACAGGTTTGTGGACTACCCCCCGGTGGCTAAGAGAAGTCAATCAATAGCAGGACGTGGAGGCTCTGGTAGTGTTAACTGGAAGGGTTCCAGGATTCTGCTGCCTGGGACTGTTTTTTCAACCCTGAGAGGCTTCTGACCAGGATGGCTCTACCTCCTGCTGGGAAGAATCTCATGATGTTTACTTAGGTACCAAGTTTGTCCTAGAGGCTGGGCTTTAAGAGAGCGAATGTCAACCAGTGTACCAAGTTTGTCCTAGAGGCTGGGCTTTAAGAGAGCGAATTAGTGAGCACTTAGCAAGTGCCAGTCATTTTGTCAGATGCTGGTGGTTATGCAGCAGTGAGCCAAACAAATGCACCCCTGAAGGAGCCCACACCCCAGCAGGGGAGGCCGGTGGTGAAGGGGTGCTGGGGCTCAGTGACAAGGGCTGTGCGGAGCTCAGTCTCACGGAGGGTGTCTGGTGACACGGAGGGTGTCTGGTGACAAGGCAGGTGGTACAACACAAAGAGCGTGACCTGCAGAGGTACAGGCAGCTAGTCCTGTGTTACCTCTGCCACTCACCTCACCTCTCTGAATCTCATTTTCCTCACATTACGTATAATGAGGGTAATAACTTGCACTTTGCAGGATTTGATAAGAATTAAATGAGATAAAGTAAAGCATAGAGCAAGAGCTAATAGGCTTATAATACATTGTAATTGTTGTCCATTTCCAGAGCATTAGCAAACTTGAGCTTTGGCTGCCATCAGATGTCTAGCTCCGTTGCTATCCTATACAGTGCTTTTGGGTGAATAGGAAAAGCCATCTGCCCCCTTCCCCAACTGATGTCACTTGGCACTCAGGTTTGTGGATTTCAGCTCCACCTTGGCTAGTTGGGCATCCTTGGGCAGTGCATACCTGCACAGTCACATTCAGTGTGCTCAGAGGGTGACTAATAATGAAATCAATCCTTTACACATAGTGTGACCATATGTCCCATTTTATGCCTGTTGCCCTAACGTAATATACCCTCTTTCAGAGCCACAAGTATCCCAGTTTGAACAACAAATTATAGGGTCTTTCTACTTAAACAGGGCAAAATAAAGTAAAGACAACAGTTCTAAATCTTAAGACCCAAAAGGAATGAGCTTGATATATGATTGGTAGGAGGATTGAATGGGATTGGGAGTTGTGAGTAGGCAGGAGAAAAATGGAGATGGATTCTAGTAGTGAGTAAGTAGTGTGATTAAAGATTAAAAACTCAGGCTACACATTGTCTTGTACTAACACACAAGTACAAGATAGTTGCTGCCAAGTGGGGGGCTCTTTTATTCCCCATATCGTCCCTTCATCCCTTCCTCCCCTCACTGAGCATGAATACCTAGTAGGCATGAGTCTCCCTCATCCGTCCTGTAACTGTACCAGTAGAAGAATGGCTATAACCAGAGCCTCTGAGCCATTACTAGCCAGACTCCTATGGAAAAAGGAGCCAAATTGAAAGTGTGACCTTCCTACTTAGCTTTTAAGGGAAATGTTGACATGTTACCACTAGGCAATACATCATATTCCACACCCAAGAATGATAAGATCCAAAACAGAGATGGGCAAGTAGACTTGGCAAATGAAAAGGGATGGATTGAGAGCCTAGCTGTGCATCCAAGTTCCTGAGGCCGGAGCTTTAGGCCTCAGCTTCTGTTAAAGAAAAAGAGAGAAGGGGGGCGGGCCAATATGATAGGGTGTAAAGATCTCTCTTCCTAGCTGTGTGACCCGGGCGAGTTACCTAGTCTGTGTGAAACGCTTTGTACTCCTGGGACTTGGGGATGATTGTGCAGGCTCACAGAGCTGCTGTGAGAGTGGGGTGAGCCAACAAATGTGAGCACCTAGCACTGGGCCCGCCTCATAGGTAGCATTTGTCAAATGTCACTTTTCTTTCCTATTTCCCTTTTCCAGAGAAGGCCGGGGGGAATATCTGTGTCCTGATGGTGCTTCAGTGACTTTCTATTCTGCATTTTTTTTACTTGCAGAAAGTCAGAAACATGGCACTGGATGATGTCGTGATCCTGAACGTGGACACCAACACCCTGGAAACCCCCTTTGATGACCTCCAGAGTCTCCCTAATGATGTGGTGGGTAATGGGCTCTTCAGGTTCTGAGTCCTGTGAGCTCATGCAATGGAAATGAACACGACTTTGGGGTCGGGGGGAGGCAGCCATGGCTTTCCTCTGGCCTAAGAACTGCAGTTTGTTACTCTGTTCTTTCTGGAATCTTTGTCTCAGTGCAGAAAATGGGGAGGTGGCTTATTTTTTGAGTCTTGTTTTGCCTTTATAACTTTAATCAGAAAGACTGTGAAGTGACCAGAGAGCCTAGACAGCTCTTTGTTCTGTGGGAGCCTGGGGGTCTTGCCACCCCTCCCCGGTGCTTTGCCATCTCCAGAGAGCAGGACAGCATTCCCTGAGTAATACCACAGAAGGTGGGTGGGAAGGTTTTCAGTGTAAGCAATTTGGGGTACTTCAAACCTATATTTTTTTCCTGGAGTCGTCAAGCATAGCCGTTTCCCTC